GAGTTAGCCCTGAGTGCTCCTCTCCTCATGATAGTAATTAGTACATTAAGAGCTGTCTGTAAAAAAAAAAAAAAAAAAAAACCTACATTAAATGACTGCCGTAGGTACTTTTCTTCTCAAATCTTATAGGTAGATCATGCAGTCAGCTATGAAGTGATTTATAATGCTTCATGAACACAGTATCTGAGATAAATTGGTGAAACAGCGTACAGTTTATCATTAGTTTTGACCCCAGCAAACTGAGTTCCTGTAGCCATGTAAGCTCTATACTCTCCTTGAGAAGGGAGAAGGACTGACTCGGGAAAAATGGAGTACTGCAAATAGCCAGTCCACCATCCCAGGCCCCTGTGGCTCTAATCCACCCTAGTACAGCCTGACAGATGGAATTACATGCTTGCATCAGAACCTTTAGTAGAATTCTGAGAAATGATTTGAAGAGCAAACATTATTTTCAGTGACTCCTTAACATCACCGGAATTTATAGGATACCACATTGACTGCTATCTTGGTCCAGTCTTCAAAAAAAACATAGCCAAGAACCACTGTGAAACTACTTCTAAACTTTTCTCCTGTCTTGTATTCACCAACTCAGAGCTTGATCATTATGTATCAAGAGGCTGAAATGTCCCATTTTTCTTCTCTTTTTTGGGGGGGTAGGTGATACAGAGAGAGGTAAAAGGCTCTTCTTTCCCTGCTCTTTACATGTACCTATGATCCATCGCCAAACCAGCTTCTCTTCTGTCCTCTATTTCAGTAGCCAAACCAGAAAGAACCCTCAACTCTAGTTTCTTCCTCATTACCACACCCATTCATCACCAAGTCCTTTCAGTTCTGCCTCCTAAATATCTCTAGAATCCATCCATTTATCAGAACACCCATTCCCCTTCCCACCTCCAGACCACATTATCTTTCACCTGGAGTTCTAAAGTATTAAACAATGATTAATTACTTCCCTCTGATGCTTTTCTGTATATCAGCGAGAAAAATGTTTCTAAATCATAAACCTGACGTGGTGGTGCATTGTTTCAAATCCTTTAGTGGCTTTTTATTGCCTTTATAATAAAATTTCAACTGGTATGAAATTTTTAAGACCCTCCATGTCCAGGCTCTTTTGTCACCTCTTCTGCTTCATCTCTCACCTACCATTCCCCACGCATACCACACTAACACCTCTTCATTTTAATTCTTTTTTTTTTTTTTAAAGATTTTATTTATTTATTTGACAGAGAGAGACACAGTGAGAGAGGGAACACAAGCAGGGGGAGTGGGAGAGGGAGAAGCAGGCTTCCCGCGGAGCAGGGAGCCCGATGTAGGGCTCGATCCCAGGACCCTGGGATCATGACCTGAGCTGAAGGCAGACGCTTAATGACTGAGCCACCCAGGTGCCCCTCTTCATTTTAATTTTTATTGACTATATGTCAGTTCCTACAGTGCTCCTGAATTTTCTCGCTCTGAGCCTCCTAATATTCAGTGCACTCTGCTTGAAACACTTTCTTCCCCATTTTCCACTGATTGTTTATCCTTCGGATCTCAGCTTAAATGCCACTTCCTAAATTTAGGATACCAGCATTGACTCCGTAATCCTCCATGTTGGTTAGGATAGGCTAAGTTTTGCTGCAATAAGGAGCAACCCCCAAATCTCAGTGGCTTAACATAACAAAGTTTATTTCTTGCTCATACTGCATGTCCATCATGGCTCAGAGGAGGAGCTCTGCTCATTGTAGCTTCTCAGAGACTCAAACTAACACATAATAGAAGCTCCATCTCACATGTGAGATCATGATAGCCAAAGCAGGATAAAGGGAATATGGTGAACCATGCAGTAGCTCTAAAGCTCCTTTTAGAAAATGATGTATATTCAGTCATATTTCATTAGCTGAAGCAAGCCCCATAGTCATCCCTGCCTTGAGAGGGGGTGGGGAACTACAATCCTACCACATGCTAGAAAGAAAATCAGTATATGTGTGGGTATCCCCAACGACTGCCACAGCTCTTTTGTGTACACTACCATCTCATCTTGTATTTCCTCCAGCATAGTAGTGTCATGCTTTATTATGGTTACCTGTGGCCTATTTCCCCTACTCCAGGCTTTGGGAAGGTATGATCATATTTGTCTCATTCATTACTCTCTCCATTGCCTTCATTGATGCTTAACGTGTAATGGCAATTCGAAAATATTTGTAACACTCGAGATTTATGTATTTAGCCTGTTATTCTTTTACTTCTGCCATTTCTCCTTGAGGTCTCTTCCCCTCTCATGGTTTCAGCGTCACTGCCTGGAAGGTGAGCTCCATACCCTGACTTCAGTCTATGTCTCCAGCTACTCACTTGATATTTCTGCTTGAATATAAAATGCATATTTATGGGGTGCCTGGGTGGCTCAGTCGGTTAAGCATCTGCCTTGGGCTCAGGTCATGATCCCAGGGTGCTGGGATCAAGCTTCGCATCGGGCTCCCTGCTCAGTGGAGAGTCTGCTTCTCCCTCTCCCTCTACCCCTTCCCTCTGCTCATGCACTCGCTCTCTGTCTCTCAAATAAATAAATAAAATCTTTAAAAAAAAAATAAAATGCATATTTATTCTTGCAGTCAATATTTATTGATTACTTTCTGGTAAGGCATTATATTAAATGATATGAAGATACAGAGATAATTAAAATAGTACTTGCTTTCCCAGTGCTTATATTCTAGTATAATACAAGGAAGAATGTAATGAATCCTTAATATGTACACAATATACAAAATGCTGTACCAGAGCAGAACAGAGACAAGTGATCTATGGCAAGATGGAGTTAGAACTTGTGTTGTTTCAACCACTGAATTCACTGGGCAAGTATCAATACTGTTCTGTGCCGGGTCCTCGAGATGACATGAATCAAGTTTTTATCCAGCTCACAATCCAACGGGGAGACAGGTAGGTAGCTGAGGATGAAGGGGTAAATGCGATTTTAACACAATATGGGAGAGTGACTGAGGGGTAAAGGGGATGGTGCAAAGGAAAGCAACAGAGGCTTTCTTTCCTATAGGCATACAGGAGACATTTATGAAGCACCAGTGCAGTGTCAGACATTGAATACATAATACTGAGGACATAATCCCTACCTTAGAGAACTGATAGTGTGTAAATAAAGATTTTATTTATTTATTTGCGAGAGAGAGAATGAGAGACAGAGAGCATGAGAGGGAGGAGGGTCAGAGGGAGAAGCAGGCTCCCCGCCGAGCAGGGAGCCCGATGCGGGACTCGATCCCAGGACTCCAGGACCATGACCTGAGCCGAAGGCAGTCGCTTAACCAACTGAGCCACCCAGGCGCCTGAGTTGATTTGTTTTGCCATGTTTTTGTTTTGCATCTTTGAGGGTGACTTTTGAGCATAAAAAAGACCATGTATAGCTAATTTAAGGTTTAAAAAATGAAAAATCAACATATTAAAATTTTGTAATTTAAAACCTAGTTTTTTAACACAAAAGAGAACAAACTTTAAAAAAGTCCAGTCACATCTCTTATTCTATTTGTAGGTCTAGTGAAATTTAGCAGTTCAAAGGGGACTTTTACAGCTTAATTAAATTTCTTTAAATATTTTAAACTGTATTTACACATTTAAAATGTTTTATTTTCTCTTTGAAGTACTTCAGTTGTTTGTCTAACAAAACATTGAGTTTCAAAGTAACTATAATTATATTTATTTAGTAATAAATTAAAATACAGCTAATAATATAAATATGGTGCATCTTAGATTATCTTTACCATTTGTAAGGCTATTAAGTTTATCTTTTACCTTCCAACGTAAAAGTTTATCAAAATGAATTATTCAATGGCGTATTTAAATTGAACTAGTAAGGCTAATCTATTAATCTTGACGAACTAGTAAGGCTAATTATTAATCTTGACAGGGTAAATTTTCTTAATTGTTACAAATACTTTCGAGACCAAGTATACACAAGTTGTCTTTAAATTTAATATGAAAAATATTAATACTGAAGACGTGATTTACTTTATTTCTGTGCCTAATACTTAATTATCTCTGGTTAAAAGATAACCACAAAAGAATATTATGCCACCCCAAGCAAGATGGGTGGAGGGTGTGGTTACCATCTTGGTGCATTGAGGTTATTTATCAACCAGGGAGACTGGGCTGGGATGCAGAAATTAATTCTTACCGTTGACATCCATGGGGTGCCCTGAACCCCAGTTATAGCCCCTAGAATAGGAACCCCCACATTTATGAAAAGGCTGGTCTCAAGGCTGAGGGCACTTACGTCCAACTTATACATAAATTAAGTCTTCTGTCTGGCTTGAAATTGCTACATCCTTGTCAGGATATAATAGCTTCCTTTACTGCTTGCTTTAATTTGCATTTCTTTCACTGTCTTAAGACAGTGTACTATTGTCTTTTGTCTGGTTCTAAAGATACATCTGTCTAATCCTTTATAACCAACCTTAATTCTTCCGCGAACATTTTGACCATTATGGTCTGATTTGAGTGAACAGGATTCTGTTCTCTTAGTGTTGTTCCTGCTTAACAGGGCCACAGTTCTCACCAATAATAAAACGACATTCAGTTTTATTCTACCCATCCCTTGTGGCTCCATCTAGCTCTTGAGTCACAACACTGAAGTCACGCTCCTGACATAGGAGAGACCATTGTGATATACTTGATGGGATTTGTCAGTTGATTCATGACCAGCTGCTCCTCAGCATGCCCAGGTGTGACACATCCAGCTCGTGGGGCTGAAAACAGCATTACCCTTCTCCTTGCTCAGCCAAGATCCATTTGTGTCATCTTGAGCAAGTCATTTAACTGTTTGGGCCTCAGTTTCCTATTTTTAAGTTGTAAGAACTCTTAGTTTTAAAATCCTATTATCTGTTAAATTCTAATGTAGGAGAGCCTGAAATATTGGTGTTTTACTGTGTTTCGTGTAGGCATTACTCAAGAATTAACTAAATTTTATCTTCTTGGAAATTATGGAGAGGAGTGAGATAATAAATGGTTTTACTTTCTTCCAGATCTTTGATGATGCGTACAAATCCCAGCTTAGTTGTGTGGTTGTGGATGACATTGAAAGACTGCTTGGTAAGTCATAACCTCTGACATTGTACTTTCTTTGCGACATTACACTAATGTCTCACAAAGTACAAGAGAAAAATAACGGGTATTTATAAACTATAGGGCAATAAGAATACTTTCCTTTGTCTTTCAAGGAATTATGTTATGTTATATCTGAAGTCAGTGATGGTATTCATGTTAAATATGCCTTATGACCGTAACTCCATCATAAACTGCTTTCCCATCAGGGCCCACACCTCATATTATTTTGTTTCTTCCACAGAGTTCTCTGCCCCTAGTAAATGATTAGTAGTTTCCGTTGATGGATATATTTGCTATTTAGTACCTCTGAGCTTGCCTGTACCCCAGAATTTCCACTTAGGAACTTCGACAGAACTAAGGGAAGAAGGGCCTGTGAATGGAGTGAAATAACACTTGGGAGAAGCTGCAAGTTCTCTTGTACCTCAGTCTCTGTTTTATAAGAACGAGTCCCTGTTATAATGCATTTATTCCAGATTTACCTAATTTTTGCAATGAAATCAAATGTGCCTGTTTTATAAGAACAGAGGCTGTGTTCCCTTCCTTACTTATCCCATTGAGTAATTGTGCAGACAAAAATGGGGTAACAGTGTTGAAAACATTCTGAAATGTTTACAGGTGCTGTATAGTTAAAAAAAAATTTTTAAATATTGATTACCCATCTCTTATGCTAAAATGCACTGCTACAGGGGCGCCTGGGTGGCTCAGTCGTTAAGCGTCTGCCTTCCGCTCAGGTCATGATCCCAGGGTCCTGGGATCGAGCCCCGCGTTGGGCTCCCTGCTCTGTGGGAAGCCTGCTTCTCCCTCTCCCACTCCCCCTGCTTGTGTTCTCTCTCTCGCTGTGTCTCTCTCTGTCAAATAAATAAATAAAATCTTTAAAAAATAAAATAAAATAAAATGCACTGCTACAGGATACAAAGATGAATAATAAGACAGTCCCTGTATGCAACTCATAAGGTGTAATATCCCAGTAAATGCCAGAAAAGTGTTGTTACTTATATTTTATTTCATTTCAAAAATTAGATAAATCTGGAATCAATGCATTATAATAGTGACTCGGGATGCTGTGATAACTGTTGAAATTGAACCCACATGGTGACTTCATAAACTTCTGAAAATACTACCCAACACCTGAGTAATCCCTTCTTAAGCTATCCAAAATGGTGTAGTAATGATTTCAAGTCAACTGTTCTTACCACATTTTCCTCATGATTTTCAGACTTGCTTCAGGTCCTCCGTTATTTATTTTCTTGTTTCTTAAGGCAATGTTTGTTATAAAGCAAAGACGTACCTATATGTAATCAGGTGTATCTGAGGTCTTCTTAATGTGATAGTTTTATCTAGTGACCTGGGGTTTTTGGTCTGCTGTTTTTGATACATTTCAGCCTAGTTTATAGGATTATTTCTTTAAAAGCTTTTAAGCACAAACTCATAGCTCTGTGTAAATTCCTTTATCTAAACACAATTGAGATGTGTGGTCATAGCAACACTACTATGTCAGGAATGTGTGCCCTCTGAGTATATTTTCACTTGTATGAATAGTTATTATCTGTACTTGTTTGTTCATTTATTTGACAAGTAAGCTGAGCCCTTACTACTGTGCTAGAATTATTAGGGTCTCAGAAAAAATAAGTAACATGCTGTTGTTGTAACACATTGGTAAAAATTACTGCAAAGTAGAATGTGCTTTATGTTCTGGATATTCAGAAAAGGGGAAAGATCACTTTTGACTTCAGAGGGCTGGTGCCTGAAGGTAGTTCTAAGCATAAGGCAAGGGTACATATATATGCAGTATGCAGAGAAAGCTGGGGAGGAGCATTTATGCTGAATCTTGAAGAATTAGTAGAAGCTTAGCAGAAAATTTTAGAAAGTTCTCTGTTCTTCACCATCTGAGGACCAGTCTTAGTGACTCTACCATCATTTCAGTTACACTGAAGTACCTTACGTACATTAGTAATTGCCATTTCCCCCTCTACTCATTTTCTAGTATGTGTTGTTGCCTGTGAGCTTACTGTATTACCACAGTTTGCAGTCATTTCTTGGAAATGCTTGGTAAATACACCTGGGTTTTTTTCTTCCTTAAAAAAACAAAAACAAAAACAACTGTCTCCAAATATTAGACAAAGATATACGCAAACAATGAATCACGGAACACTACATCAAAAACTAATGATGTCATGTATAGTGATTAACATAATAAAATAAAATTTAAAAAAAAAATGTCTACCTGAACTCAAAATGGATATTTAGAAGCTTTTAAAAAAAAATTTACAGATGAGAGTTCTTACATAACCTTTTAAGCTTTTGAGTTATTGCAGATACTATTTTTCTAATTATCGTTAGTTGCATGACAGTTCCTTAGGACTATGTTTACTCTTGATGCAGAAAAATCTGAATGTTTGGAATATGTGCAGATGTGTATCGAATCCCTAAAACATAGCAATGTTTCTCTTCCAGATTATGTCCCTATTGGCCCTCGATTTTCTAATCTGGTATTACAGGCTCTTCTTGTGCTTCTCAAAAAGGCACCTCCTCAGGTAAAAAATAGCATAAGAAACATTTTCACAGAATTTTTCCAGTATATTGCATATAATGGTGCAAATAAGCTGCTAAATAAGCGAGCAATCATAAACATAAAATTCTGTTGTTGAGGGGCTTTGGAAAAGTCATCTGGTCTGGCCTTCTGTTTTAAGGTAAATGATTTTCTTAACAGAGAAGTTTCCTTTCTGAATATCCCAAAATCCTAGTTTCGATTAATGTTCTGTTTTTGTTGTTCTGTAAATTCCCCAGTATATTACACATCTCTGGCCACCTTCATCTCCCATGAGAGATCATGATATTCATGTAGAAGGGATCGAATATACATTCCCATTTGTTTGATTTGTCATTTGATAGAGATTTTTCCTAAGAAATTATATTTGGGGATATTTATTTCCTGTAGGCAGATTTTTCTTTTTCTTTTTAAAAAATGTTTACAGTTAAGCTTAAATTATTTCTCTTGTGTCATGTGGCACTTTTGAGGAGGGAGTTCATAGCCAGGATCTTTGTTCATGTGGTTGCATTTTTATTGATGTGGCTACTAGAGACTGGTGATTTTGGTAACTTAACACATTTAAAAGTAATCTATGGGGGTTGGTTAAATATGCTAATTATGTAGAGGCTGCCAGAGCATGTTTGGCTATGACACAAGACAAATTCTCTTGATTGATTTTGTGTGCTGTAACCTTTGAGAAATGCCAAAGACAGATACAAAGGGGTAACTTGAAAAACATCTTAATGTCTATGGGAATCTTGTATTTGAAGTTAGAGATCTTAACTGGGCTGTATGGAAAATATTTCATGTTAAGTTGGTGAATCTGCTTTTTAATTTAACAGTTAAAATTGTGTGTGTGTGTGTGTTAGAACTAAAAGTGATGGGTCTTGATTTTCTAGGATATTTTTGGTTTTTTGTATTTCTAGAATAGTGAAAAGAAACATAAGGTACAACAACCTTGAAAATTTACCATATATATGCACTGTAAGAATTTTGTAATCATTTTTCCATAAACCATCATTCCCAATAATTGGAGTTTTAGCTCATCCTAGATAGGCTGAAGTTAGAGAAGTGAGTATTTTTCCTTTCTCTGATTCCTTCAATAAATATGTAAATAGATAAATCTAAAGTTACTGGAAAAGGGACACCTGGTTGGCTCAGTCAGTTAAACATCTGACTTTTGATTTTGGCTCAGGTCATGATCCAGGGTCCTGGGATCGAGCCCTGTGTCGGGCTCCCCGCTCAGTGGGAAGTCTACTTGTCTCCCTCTCCCTCTGCTCACACAGGCACACTCACTCTGTCTCTCTCTCTCTCTCTCTCAAGTAAATAAATAAAATCTTTATAAATAAAGTTGTTGGAAAAAGTAAATAACCCCAATGTCCGTATGTATTACATACAAAAAAATCCTTCCCTATGAAATAGCATTTTAAAAAGTATTAGATTGGGAGACTTTCTCCAGGCATTTAAATTTATATGTTATTCAGGGGCGCCTGGGTGGCTCATTTGGTTAAGCAGGTCATGATCCCAGGGTCCTGGAATCAAGTCCCGCTTTGGGCTCATTGCTCAGCAGGGAGCCTGCTTCTTCCTCTATTCCTCCCCCCTGCTCGTGCTCTCTCTCTCTCTATCGCTCAGATAAATTAATTAAATCTTTAAAAATATATATATATATCTTATTCAATCTTTAGCTAAAAAGAATTTATGCTAGAAGTCATTTGGGAGAAGGAAGAATAATTTTTCAATGATATTTTTCAAACTGTTTGTCCTTTACATTGTTAAATACATTTATTTAAACAGAGAGACATTCCCTGGTTGAGAATTATTTGTAATCCAGAATAGATACTGATAGAAATAAATAGAGCATATTAAAAAGACTTGCAGCATTTTGATTAAAGACTTAGGAATAACTTTCCATTTTGTAAAAATGTAAAATTCTTGAGGAAAGGAACATTATCTAATATTTTTAAATCTCACAGCGTCTGGCACAAGTTTATACAGATGTACTTCATGAATAACCTATTCAACAAAAAATATAGATAACATACTTCTAAAGATATTTTTTGAGTGCTCATTTTGGTGGGCTTAACTATTTTGTATTGTTGTAATTTATATTTGGCAAGGTATGATTAAAGTGAAAACATTCAAAAATAAATAAATTTCAAATGGCCAACGAGCACATGAAAAGATACTCAACATCATTGGCCATCAGGGAAATGCAAATCAAAGCCACAATGAGATACCACTTCATACCCACCAGGGTGGCTATAACCAAAAAGTCAGATAATAATAAGTGTTGCTGTGCATATGGAGAAATTGAAACCCTTATACACTGCTGGTGGGAATATAAAAATTGTGCAGCCTTTGGGAAATAGCCTAGCAGTTCCTCAAAAGGTTAGAGGTAAAGTTACAATATGACCCAACAATTTAGGTATATACCCCAAAGAAATGAAAGTATATGTCCACACAGAAGCTTGTACATGTGTTCAAAGCAGCATTATTCATAACAGGCAAAAAGTGGACACAACCCAGATGTTCACAGATAAACCATGGCATATCCATACAATGGAATATCATTCAGCAATAAAAAGAAATGAAGTCCTGTTACATGCTGCAACATGGATGAACCGTGAAAACATGCTAAGTGAAAGAAGCCAATCATAAAAGACCACAGATTGGTTCCATTTGTATGAAAGGTCCAGAATTGGCAAATCTGTGAAACAGAATCTAGTAGATTCATGGTTGCCTAGGACTGGGAGGGGTGGATAGGGAGAATGAGGGGTGACTGCTAATGGGTGTGGGGTTTCTTTTTGGGGTGTTTCACACGTTCAAAAATTGATCATGGTGATAGTTGCACATTCTGTGAATATACTAAAAACCATTGAATTGTACACTGTAAATCAGTGAATTGTGTGTTCTATGACTTATATCTCAATAAAACAGATTTTAAAGAAGAAAGTGATTGCAGAAGCTACTTAAATGAGGAAAGGAGGGTTATAGGGAGAACTAGAAGCAAGGACTGAGCATCCCAGGTACATGGCCCAACTTGGGAGAAGTCCTAGAAACAGGGATTGGATCATTAAAAAGGGATGTGGAATGCATTTCTCTAAGGACTGAAAAGGAAAGGTATAGGAATATGTAAGGAGTCAAAGATAGATCTGGTTGCCTTAGTGATTGGAAATGGCAGGGATTCTCTTTTAAGGATTACCAGCCTGTCATTAATCAGAATTTGGTGACTCTGACCTGGCCTGCTATATAAGTGCATCAGTGGCCGGAGAAGTTAATGTTTCAAATATCTCTAGTTGGCGTACATTTGACAAGATAAAAATATGCTTTTTCTGTACCACCTTGCTTTTTAAATTAGTGTGTATTCTCTCAGGAGAACAAGGGAAAATTTTCAGGCTGATCCAGTGTCGAGAATATTTGTCTTTCTAAAGTGGAAGCATTCAATTCACCAAACCATTATCCATGTTAGGTTTTTCAGATGTTTTCAATTAAATATTAAAAGTGTATGAATCTGGGTGTTGTAGAGCCACGTAGGATGGTAGAAAACTATTATTTTTACCACTGTCCAGAAAACAGAAGTTGAAGGCATTTTTCTTTAAAAAGAGGAATTGTGCATGGATACAATATAGTAATCATATCAGCCACAGAATCCTTAATATTGTATTTGTTGTAATTCCAGCTTTCACACAGAAAAATTATGTGTGCATGTGTGCACATGCTCAAATAAAAGAATCCCTTCAGGGGCACTATGTTGTTATGTATCAAGATATTCTCTTTTCTCCTCCTCCCCTCCCCCACACCCCTCCCTCGTTGTAAATTGGCTTATTAAAACTGGTTCACAAGCCTTCTTTTTTTCCCTTTGTGATTGCTTTGGTCTTGGATTTTCAGTGTAGGACTAAAAATTCAAGTCAGATTTCAGTTACTAGGATAATTTTCTTTGAATTTTAAATTTTTCTAAGTAAATGCATAGATTTTTAATGAACCCGGTATTCAGTGGGTTTGCTTTAAATTTAGCTGGGAGTTAATTTCATGATTGATTTATTAGCCCTTTGAAAGTATAAAAAGTGGTATCTGTAGTTCATGAAGACTGAAAAACATCATCACATTTTGTTTAGCATCTTTTTAAAACCAATTAAAAGCTTTTCTAAAATGGATTGAACAGGAGAAAATAAAACATGTTCCCTAGGTCTTTATTTCAATCAAGTTGCCCTGTGTTGTGCAGGAGAAGAGATCGAGGGGGGGTAGAACACTGAAAAGGGCTGTCCCAGCAGGGAGCCCCGCGGGAGAAAAGGGCTGCTCTGAGAACTCCCGGCCGCGGCTCGGAAAGCCCCCAGCCTGCTTCATCTACATGCAGAGTCACACAAGGCATGGGGGTGCTCACCGGCACCACAGAGGTTTCACATGTGCTTCCCTGCTGATTCCTGTGAAAAGCTAACAATTGGCTCGGAGGGTAAAAGACCACTGCAGTTCACCCTCCCCGAGCTGGATGTACAATTTGTCCAGTGTTAGGAAATGTCCGGCTTAGCAGTGAGAGGCTTGAAGACACCCCTCCTTCCAGTGAGATTCCTAAAGCCGGCTCTTTTACTCAGTGACACTGGGGCTCTTTTCAGGTTTTGCAGATTTATGGAAGTTGAGGGGAATGTGCTTTTCAACATCAGGAGGATGAAAGCCTTAGTCTTAATGTCGAGGAAGAAGCGGTAGGAAAGCCATAAGGCCAGGTAAATCTTCCCGCAACCTGCAGCATCGACAGCTTTATTATTTTTCTCAGAGAGCTCTTCTGGCACCTTCTTTTTTTCTTTTTTTGGGAGACAAAATAAAGTGCCTGCAAAGGAACTCCTCAAGCTCTAAAATGACATGACTTCCCAGTTTCCTCAACAAGTGCGGGAGTAGTTAGTGAAGCTCATTAACCTGACTGCTTCAGTGCTAGGTTTACTTGACGCTTTGGGGAATCAGATTGGAAGACTGCATCTGTAGCTACCAGAATGGCCTTGTCACTCATGGAGA